GGGGGCGCCTTGGTGAATAAAAGCTCACCAATTCCCTTCTGTGCCCCCGTGATGAACTTATAGGCAGCCACAAGGTCACCTCTCAACCTTCTCTTGCGGAGGCTGAATAGATCCAGTTTCTCTAGTCTCTCCTCGTAAGGCTTGGTCTGTAGGCCCTTAACCATACGAGTGGCCCTTCTCTGGACCCTCTCCAGGTTATCCGCATCCCTCTTGAAGTGCGGCGCCCAGAATTGCACACAGTACTCCAACTGCGGTCTGACCAGCGCCTGATAGAGGGGAAGTATCACCTCCTTGGACCTATTCATCATGCATCTGCTGATGCACGATAAAGTGCCATTGGCTTTTTTGATGGCTTCGTCACACTGACGACTCATGTTCATCTTGGAGTCCACTAGGACTCCAAGGTCCCTTTCCACTTCCGTGCCACCCAGCAGGTCATTCCCTAGGCTGTAGGTGTGCTGGACATTTTTCCTCCCTAGGTGCAGCACTTTGCATTTCTCCTTGTTGAACTGCATTCTGTTGTTTTCTGCCCACTTGTCCAACCTGTCCAGATCTGCTTGCAGTGAATTAAAGCCTTCAAGCACCAGTACAAAATAACCAGAAACAATGTAACTGGGATTTTGAAATGCAAGTATTTTAAAGTTATATTTGTATACATCTAGACTGGCAACCTGTAAACTAAGCATCTGATTTTAAAAGACCAAATTCTTCATGGATGAAGGGTCACAAACTGCTTGTCCCAGCAGAAGATACTCTGGCATCTGCACAGCATGGAGCAGTCTCCACAGACTTTCTCCAATACCTAACAACCACGCTGCTGCCAAGTGCAATGACAACTTCTTGCAAACTTCCCTGGAAGGCCCAGGTATCCCCTGAATAGCCCTGACTTCAAAGGCAAGGTCAGTTCAGAGCACCAGAGCTGCAGGTGCATGTATACCCAGAAAGGAACAGAGAAGGTAGAAGATGGAAAGGAGAAGTCAAATGCCTCCTTGTTTCTCTAGACCTTACCTGGCAGAGAGGATAATAACCCGAGCCTCCAGCTCCTTGGCTTCCAGCAGCAGCGAAGTCAGGTTTTTGGTTCCAGGATCAAACTGAAGAACTTTCTCAGCCTGTGATTAGTGTGAGCAAAGCTGGTTAGTACAATAGCCTCAGGCCTGCTGGGGAGAGCCATGCTATCTAGAAAAGGGTCAAGAGAACTCATTAAACTGTACAAAATTCAACTAGATAAGGTAGGTTATAACTAGTTTTTTTCTTTTTTCTTTTTTTTCCTTTTCTTTCCTTTCTTTCTTTTTTAAGCTTTATTTTCTTTTTTTATTTTCTTTTTTATTTTTTTGCACTGTGCATGCAAACGGAAGTCAATCAAGACCCAAAAAGAGGCGTGCATTGTACAGGAAAGAGAAAAAGGCTTTTGAAATGCAATTGAAAACTCAAGCGAGTGTTGTTTTTCAAAAACACGGGAAATAAAAACAAAAAAACAAAAAATATTGCACAGGGTTAACCTTTGGGAGTAAAAGTGACCATCTTACACCAAGGAGCTGTTTCCTTTGGGGAGGAAAGGGGGTTGGTTCAATCTTTCAAAAAGAAAAACTTGCAAGTTAAGTACTGGTTCACATGCATGTATCAAAAAGAAATCCTTCTGGGGTCAGCTGGCTAGTTTTCCATTCTCAAGTTCAAACCAAAGCTATCTCAACATAAAAACGTGCTACCAAGAAACATATTCATAGATTTTTTTTTTTTTGCTTTTTTTTGCTTTTCTTTTTTTTTTTTTTTTTTTTTTTTTTTTTTTTTTTTTTTTTTTTTTTTTTTTTTTTTTTTTTTTTTTTTTTTTTTTTTTTTTTTTTTTTTTTTTTTTTTTTTTTTTTTTTTTTTTTTTTTTTTTTTTTTTTTTTTTTTTTTTTTTTTTTTTTTTTTTTTTTTTTTTTTTTTTTTTTTTTTTTTTTTTTTTTTTTTTTTTTTTTTTTTTTTTTTTTTTTTTTTTTTTTTTTTTTTTTTTTTTTTTTTTTTTTTTTTTTTTTTTTTTTTTTTTTTTTTTTTTTTTTTTTTTTTTTTTTTTTTTTTTTTTTTTTTTTTTTTTTTTTTTTTTTTTTTTTTTTTTTTTTTTTTTTTTTTTTTTTTTTTTTTTTTTTTTTTTTTTTTTTTTTTTTTTTTTTTTTTTTTTTTTTTTTTTTTTTTTTTTTTTTTTTTTTTTTTTTTTTTTTTTTTTTTTTTTTTTTTTTTTTTTTTTTTTTTTTTTTTTTTTTGACTTTGTTTTTTATTTATTTTTGGTCTGGTGGCTGTGGCTACTTGTCATTTGCTAGTTAGATTGGTGGGCGACGTGCATTTCCATGCATATATACCTTGGGTCCTCGCTTGTTGTCATAGGAAAGTTGGTCGAGGTTTTCATAGTTCCTTTTTTTACTCTGATGAATAATGTGCACAGAGAAAATATGTAGACACAGAAGAATATTATAAACAGTTGAAAATGACGTGTACTAAAGCAATCCAACATCCACCTCCTCCTCCACTGTTTGCTAAAGGGCCTCTATAACGCTGGAGCTCGCAAAAACCATTACTAACAGGAGAGAGGGCCTCAGCTCTCATGAAAACAGAGAGTTGCAAAGCCACATTGGTTAGAACAAGCGCAGACGTCACAGCTGTTGCGATGCAGTTGCACATCCCTTTGTAGGACTAGGGATTTCTTCTGCAAGAAATTTATAAACTTAAATTCAGAAATGATCTACATGTCTGTAAGGACCTAAGATGCTGTAATTCCATAGAACTACTGTGGAAGTAAGGAGAAAATGTTCTGTATGGAAAGTGCTAGATAAACACAAAGTATTACAATGTTTTATTATTATTATTATTATTACTAGTAGTGTTTATAATTATAACTATTACAGTCCTGTTCGCCCTAAGCAAGCTCTGAAAATGAAATGTCCAGCTGAACTTCACACCTCCTGCAGGAGGGGTCAGCTCTGTGGAACTTGGCAAGAGAAAGAAAACACTTGCTATTTTCTATGCTGGATCAAAGCATGACAATGTGGAAGCAATGGTGTTCATGACATGATATGCCAGCCTTTACCTGCTGTATGGGGGAAGACAGGGGGGCAGGTCAACAACACATAATCTGAAAATCTAGTTGCAGAATGTGCACATACCTTGGAAAATACAGACTTTGGAGAATGCAGTTCTGTCTCCCCTGCCCTGTGGATAGCTATTGAGACTATGCACCCTCAACTCCACTGCCCGTGGAGCTCTACCTAACATCAACAGGAACGTTATGGACACATCGGGTACAGGATTCACACTACTGCTAGGCTCTCTTGAAATTAGGGGTTGAAGAGAAGAGCTCTTTCCTCCCACTTTCACTGTGAGCACTGAGTAACCTAACACCTGCCTGCTAACACCTACACCTGCTAGCACTTGCAGGATCAAGACAGATTGTGTGCAATTCAGCAATAGATTTAAGTAACCCCCCTTCTCCCCACCTGGTATGGACACCTCCGAGCAATGAGGGGGAGGAGGGGCCATTAACATCTTGAATCAAATTTAGCAATCTGAATGAAATGCCCAGTGGGAACCTGACTCAAAATTTAACAGTTTCCCACCGAGTTCTCTTTTAACAGGCAATTGTTTTTATCTCTGCACCTCAATTTTCAAACTGCAGGGACTGTCTTCTTCTCACAGCTCTTTTATGAATGCTACTTTAAAGGACACTTTGCTACTCGTCCTCTCTGTTCCATACCCCAACACAATTGCACTTCCATTGCTTTTTCTCTTCTAAATGGGGTCTAGCATGTTTCTCAGTTTCCTATGAATCATAAAGTGCATCTATTGTGGAAAAAGACCTGACGGAGAAGAATGTACACTAAGCTCCCTTTCTGTCCTAAGTTCAGGCACTATCCCTAGTGCCAACGGAGGAAACTTGCAGTGCTGCTTGTCAGCATCTCATCATATCACATCAAGACAGAGCATTACTGCAACAGAGAAAAGCACTGTTTCATTGACAGGATGCAGGGAAATATTTGGTCGCTTTCAGAAACACCAGCTATTCATATTCAGGCAACAGCAACTTAGCGCTGTGGTTTATTTTCCCATGTTTCTTATATCTTTCAAACTGCAACAACAAATGACTCATGAATCTGAGTGGAGCTAATACCTAAAAAGTATACTGAACAAAAGATCAGAGTGGATTGCAAGGAACAAATCTTAAGGTAGGTCTATCAGGGTGAGATGAGATGGAACCTAATGAAACAAGATGTCTGATTTCTATCGATTATCCTCTTAAGACTGCTATACGGCTGCCTCTATAATAGTGAAATTAAAGAAATCATTTGCAATGAATCACCTCTTTGTACTTGTCCATAAGCCGATGAGACACAAGTCTGTTTCTGTTCCTTGATGGTGTTAGTGTAACACTTAAAATCAGGTGTTTGAAGAAAGGAATTATGTTCACAAATTAAAAATTCACTGTCTGCAGTGTTTGCTTAGAAGTTATTGCTAGTACATAAGCTCCAGCTGGTGCTCTGGTGCTCACACAAATGGGATACAGCAGGCCTGAGAAATGGTCAAAACTAATTCTTTTATACATTCCAGTGCCCTTGGAGGAATATTTTCACAGTACTCTACATTTTCTAATAAACAAAGAGCAATGTCTAAACGTTTATGGCAATTACCTGGACTGTTTGCCATGTACAGTGCAACTCAGCAAGAGGAACTGCAGCAAAATCAGGCTGACAGTTATTGGGGATGGGCTTGAACTGAAGCTTGACATTTGGGGTATTCAAAGAGAATTCAGCCCTGGATCTGAATGCTGTGACCTAAATGCCTGTGTTGAAAGAATTATACCACAAGAAGTGAGTTTCAACAGATTTCTTGTAGCTGCCAAGTGAGTGAGAGCAGAAAATCCTGCTCTTGTCACAGATGTGTTTGAATCCATAGGAGCACAGGTATATTGTGCTCAAGTTTGGGTGAACACTGAATTCCTCACCATAAGTCATGGCCTTCCCAAGGTGGATTGCGAGGGAGAGCTCTGTAGCATGGCAGCAGCTTCTCCTTTCTGTTCACTTCTTGTTCTAAGGCAGATTGTTGTTCAGTTTGTCTATGTGAAGATAAACACATGTTGGGGGAAGGGCTAGGGTAGGGCTGAAGTCATGAAAAGATAATGAACCATCAGGTCAGATCAACAAAATAGAAAGTAGATCATCTGTGATTACAAGAGCAGTTAGATGCCAGAAGGGACTGGGGAAGAGTTGGAGCAACCCACTTAAAGATTATCAGCCAGTTTGCAGAGTTCCCAGTATGTTAGGAGAGCTCACTGGATCTGGGGTGGGGGGACTGTTCTTGATCCTATCTGCTCCACTGCAAAGAGGAAGGAACAAGATGGCCTGGCAGATGTCAACCAAGACAAAGAAGAAGGTGATCTCTCCTCAGAAAGGACACATGCAGCATCTGGAGCAGTCTCATGGCTGCTACAAGACATTCAGGCCTGTTATGGGCTTAGGTCAAACCAGTGCTATATCAAGGGGGTGGGGGGTGAGCAGGGTGACTGCCCTGAGTGCCGAAGCAAAGGGGCACCAACAGGCGCTGCCCAGCTGGAGCGGGGCACAGGATGGAGCTGCAAGCGACTCATTTGCGGGGCGGGGCACAGGGAGGGTGACTCCCACCACTGTGCACTCCCTGGCAAGCATGGGGGGGGGGTCGGCATGTGCCCCCCAGATCTGTGTGCGGGCTGGGGGCGGCCTGCCACTGCAGACTTTGCCCTGGGTGCCAAACTTCCTTGCCACGGCACTGTGTCTAACACAGTGCAAACCACCACAGAGACCCCATGGTTGATGCCTTTTTTTTAGAAATAGGATGAAGAGGAGGTAGGATGCTGGACAGAGGTAGTATCACCTAGAGGGAAGCAAAGCACAGAGTACCAGATTATGACATGAGTCTGATGTCCTCATCTGTTGATCAAAAGGACACTGCAGTGAGCGGAGGTACCAGGAGAACTCAGAGTAGAAATGAGAAGCAGCAGCAAAAGTTGTGGGCATGGACATTGTGGGGTGAGAGAAAGATGTGTGCAACTAGGGGCATGAACACACTGCCCCAGAAAAATAGTGATGGTCACTGACTGCAGGCAGGAACCGAAGACACAGCCTAGGGTGTTCCTTGAGGAGGGGCTGCACTGATTCCTGAGAAGAAAGGACTCGGCGACGGGCTTGCGCTGCAGTGAGGAACTCTCAGGCTTCGCATTCAGGGAAGTGTCTGACTGAGAACAGTGTCAGCAAAGGCAGAAGCTGCCTGTGGAAGTCAGAGGAGTCTTCAGTCTTGGGGCTGCCCACAGCTGAGCGTGTGCACCATCTCTCAGAAATGATTCACCTACTGCTCATTCAGTGCCGCCATAATGCAAAAGAGGGCAGTTGCTAGAAGGGCCAGAAGAGGTTTCTCCCCACTCAAAGGTATTGCATTTTAAACAGACTCCACAAGAGTCATCTGCAGCTGCAGGTGTTAAACAACAACCCAGCTTGCCTCACCTGGTTGACTGTCCAGCATGGGGAGACACAGCCAGGTATTGCCAAACTGCAGGCATTACCAGTAACCCCATGCCAGCTTCTTGAGGCACCAGTGAGGAATGAGTGTCACTTCCTGACAGTGTCTGATAGTCGGGAAGGGAAACTACCTTAGAGGACTTCTCTGCGAAGAGTGTAATGGGCCTGGAAGTTCATGGAGCTGTTACCCTGGACATCCGGCAGCAGGCGAGAGGAGCTGGGTAGAACTGTCATTTCCACATCCCTGCCATGGAGGAGGTCCCGTGTCCTTTAGTTAAAACACTTCCCTTTGAAAATGCTCAGAGTGAGGCTAGAGCCAAGCAGTCTGTTGCCTTGCATATGCCTGCTCAGCTTCAGCCTTAACAGCAGAGCTCGGGCTCCTATTACCCACAGGTGACTGGAGCATACTTACAGTCATCCTGAACCTGGAGAATTTCTTCTAAGTCTTCAGACAGCTGGACTTCCTTAGCTTTACCCGCCCCCCACCCTTGCTTAGCACTGAAAATAGGTGCAGTGCACCTCCTCGATAAAGCTGCTCTCAGAAGCCACAAACATACTCTCATGTACAGCATGGGGCATGTAAGGAAAGCTGTGTTGAGCATGTGCTTCAATGGAGATGGGAACCAGGGCATAGAACAACAGCTATATAGCTGAGAGCTTTATAGAGAGGGTGCATTATACCTCTGTGCAGTAAAGCACTGACTGCCCTTGCCCTCCCAAGTACATTTAGCCAATTTAAAAAGCTGCTCTTCTGGATTCATTTGTTTTGTAATTGGCCTTGCTGGGCTTGTATTGGTTCTTCAGTGATTGAATGGGGCAAGTACTTTTCCTAAGCTGAACGATTGGTCCTCTCCCTAGGTGGAAATCTCTGGGATGAGGTATTTGCAGAGCTCCAGGTTATTCTTCCCTTCTTTTGTAGTTGATTTACATGTAGGAGATTTCGACCATGGCAAAGCAAGTGAAATGAATAAAGTACAAAGTTCTGTCAGGTACTAGTCAGACACTGTTGATGCTTTAAGCATAATGTCAGCCATGTTACAATGGAAAGAAAAGGTGTTTTACATACAGAAATCTACATACATACAACAGCCCAAGACTTCTAGTTTTGTTGTTGTTGCTTTAACAAAATGACATGACAATGTTTAGAAACTGACCTTGGATTCTCTCTCTTCCAGGAGCGTCTCCAGCTTCTTCTGTGCAGCACGACCCTCGTGGTCGTCACTGACAATCAGTATGACATGATTCCAGTTGAAGACTCGCATCATCTCAAACCAGACATTGGACTGGTGAGAGTATGGTGGCACAGTGCGCAAGAAGGATAGATGGATGCTCTGCAAAGAAGAACAAAAGCTAAACATAGACCTTTGCAGCTCATTCTTGCAGGGGTTTCTTACTGACCAATCAGCTCCACATGTACTGGGCAAGCTTAGAAATCAAGAACAAGCAAAGCAGGAATTTTTGGCAATCTATTGGCTGTTGACATCAAACCGTTAGCAGGCCTCTGTAATTTAGAATTCCCTTTCTTGGTTGAAGAGCAGGTAGTAACCTTGATTTCACACATTTTTGGTTCCTGGAGCCAACCCAACACATGGGGTGAATGGATTTTTGGTCTGTGACTTATTAGTGTATGAGCAAGGAAATGAACTGGTGCAGTTATTCATTGTCAATAACATTCAGTGCAAATTTAGCCTTTTTCTGATCTTAAATTATTTAAAAATGATTTTGTACCGTTCTGGGGGAGCAAATAAGAAAGGAGCACTGATGAGCAATTTTCGATGCATGCACATATACCAGGCTTTTGCTAAAAAGGCAAGCAATATGTTTGGGTATGTAGGGGTTGGCATAGAAACTAAAGATGAAACTATTTTAATGGCAATGTATTCATCAACAGTACACGTTCACCTGGAATGCAGTGTTTATTGCTGTCAAAACGGTTAGAAATAAAAAGGGTCCAGAGAAAGCAAGAGAAATCAGAGCCATGGAAAAGCATGTTTATGACATTTTGGATGATTGCTTCTTGGAAGAGCTTGCTCTACAGCCCATAAGAGATGAAACAATTCTGAACTCCTAGCTTATATAACTAACCCACACTCCTTGGCTCAGGAAGTAACTATGGCTGAATGATTAAGCAACAGTAATTACATTCAACATCCTCTGGAGAGGGATTGTACCAAAAACTGCAGCTGACACAAAGGTTGAAAAACAGCTTGTTGAAAAGGCTGTGCAGGAAAATGTAAGGAAATTAAAATGGTTATATTCTCATTCTGCATAAGATCTACCCAAGCAACCCAAGCAAGTCCCAAAAGGCAGGCAGAGCCCTAAACAGGAAAGGGCATAAAACAGGGGAGGAGGGAGCTGAAATGATAAAATTGAGGTTACATAAGACAGAAATTGGGAAACCATCTCAAATAAACAATATTAACGTTCACATAGTTTTCAGCACTCTGGAATGTGGGGGTGACCAGTAAAGTGGCAACATTAGCAGGTGACAATGAACTATTTAGGTTAGTCAAGATTGGAGAAGACTCTACAGAACTTCTACAGGACCTAACCCAGATATGGGAATGGGCAACATGATAACAGATGGAATTCAGTATTGAGGCTGGCAAAGCAAGTCATGTCGGGAGGATTAAATAGACATGTTTCAGGGTTCTAAGTTAACATTAACCAGTCAGAAAAAAGACCCAGGCCTCATAGCAGACAGCTCATTAACATCTCTTCTTCTGATGTAACAGAAGTTATAAATGCAAGCAATATGTTGGGATGTCTAGGGACTGGGAGAGAAAATAAAGACAGAAATATTTTAATAGCATTATATCCATCAACCACACAACTTTACTTATCATACAGCATTTGCTTCTAGTTATCCCATCTTTAAAGTTTAAAAATGAAAGGGGTTCAGAGAGGGCAACAAGTAAAGTCATGGAGACCACTTGCATGAATCAGTGGTCTGAATAGAGCTGATCAAAAGCTTTTGAACAACATTTTTTTAAAACAGAAAAAGAGCCTTCTTGTGAGATTCAATATTTTTGCAAGAACTGTCCATTTTCAAAAATGTTTGTGACATGTTTGAAATAATTTTAATATTTGTTTTGACCTTTTATAATTTTTATTTGTTGTTCTTAATTTTTCTGATTTTTTTTTTCTTCTTCACTTAACTTTTCCTTTCCTTGCCTTCTTGTTTCCAATCATTTTAATGGATTTTACAAAATGACTAGGGGAAAAAAGGGGACAAGGAAAAAGTCTGGATAATGATATTTGCAAAATCATAGGTCCTAGGTAAGATCCCAGAAGACTGAAGACAAGCTGACACGTACTGTTTTTAAGGGGGGGTGGGGTTGGGAATAGGACCAGGGGAATTGCAGATGGGTCCACCTGACTTCAGTACCTGGGAAATTACTAGAGCAAATTATAAAACAGTCAATTTGTAACCACCGGGAGGAGGAGGGGGAAATTACCAGCAGGTAATGTGGATTTGTTAAGAACAAACAGGTTCGAGTCAACTTGTTTTCCTTCTTTGACAGGGTAACTAAGAAGACAGAAATGAGATAGACAGACTATACTTTTATTTTAGTAAGGCCTTTGGTCAGTCTCACATAGCCCACATCACATCAGTCTCACATAGCCCAGAGAAATGTGGGCTAGATAGACTTACTGTTCGAGATATTTGTAACTGGCTGAATAATCACAAGCAAGGAGATACCGTATATGGATCCAGATCAGAATGGCTGTGTTTCAAGTGAGGTTCTAGAGAGGTGCGTTCTGAGTTCATCCTTCTTTAACTTTTTTATTAATGATTTGGATACAGAAATAGAGAGCTTTTTCTGATCAAGTTTGCAGACGACAGAAAACTAGAAACTCTTTGAAGGTAAGAAGAAGAATTCAAAAAGGAGCTTGATAAATTAGAGCCCTGGGCCTTAGTTGACCATGACTTTTTTAGATCTTTCTTAGTTAGTCTTAATAATTCAACCTGAACAATTTTCACCCTATAAATTGTTTGGGAACAGTTTGCTTTCACTGCCTGGTCCTCACTATTTGGTGAGGTAATATTGGACTGGTGGCACAGGTAACGTAGAACTGCTTCTGCTTTTTATTTAGCTTATTACTATAATGTCTAAGCAGGGAAACAATTAGACCTAACAGTGCATTGTGAATCTGTATTATGGGCTGAATAATCATCGTTGGTGCTCAGCCTCTTGATATTATGGCAACTGGTGCAGCACCTGAGTAACAGTGAAAAACTGACTGTAGGACTAAAGAAATATTTGCAAGCCCAAGTCACCACTCTGATTTGCAAGAGGCTATGCAAAGCACATCTTGTATCCTTTATCAGCAAAGCCAAGACTAGCACAATCATATTTGGGGTAAGAACTCTTTGCTAAGTGAGCTTAACAGAGTAGAACTATTCTGGATACCCCTGCTCACAGGCCTGTGTCAAGAAGGGGAAGAACCAATACATATTCAGAATTAAACCTGAACAAACATTTCAGCAAATAACTAACATACGCAAAGCTATCTTACTGGCGTGCTATAAGCAAACAGCAGCAAACAAATAGTTTTCAAATACAGCCTAGGTTTCTGTTTATAACTGTCCACAAACTAAAAGATGTTTACACAAAGTCCTGCGTTGTTCAGAATAATCATACACGGTTTTATGCTAATTTATTTCTACTGAAAAGCTTCTCAGCTTGTCTGAGGTGTTATGAGTCATGTGGTACTATTGTGATCCCCAAGGTTCAGGTATGGAGCACAAATACTCATTATGACAGATGTGGGGGAAAAACCCCCCATGATTTCTGAAAGAAGCAGTGCATTAGTTCCACCCAGCTCTGTGGCATCAGGTACTTAAGTGGGGCTTTTTGACACTTTTATCTAAACCTGATTCAATCAGCTATTATTACAAATTGAAGACTTGTTTCCTGAAATATTCTGCAGCCTCCATGTAAAACTGCCTTTCCTATGAACCTTTTTGCCACCCAAAAGGTCTGCAGTAACGAAAGCACTTGACAGATCCCTGTCAACCATTCTCTGGGCCTGTCTATAGGTACACTAACATGCTATAGTTAATGCGCATTAAACCTAGTACCTCCACTGTGAGGTACTAGGAAAATGCGCGTTAGTCTGTCTTAATGCGCATTAACTAAAGAGTACAGGGTGTCTGTAGACTTGCTGGGAGGCTGCTCTGATGTGCTGTAATTACAGTGTGCCATAGCAGACTCAGTTAATCAAGTCTGCTGGAGTGTGCTAATTAGTGTGCTCCAGCCAGCCTCAGCGTCTTGTATATCAGTGTCCCCATGCTTCAAAAAGGCAGCAAGGGTGCTTTAACTAAAGCTCGCTCAATGAGCTTTAGTTAAAGTGCCCCCACTGCCATTTTGAAGTTCAGGGATACTGATACATGATGAAACACTGCAGTGCTTTAATTAGAGCAGCTCTCAGAGACACTCTAATTATATACCATCCCCAGAGCACAGGTAAAAACACCCACAGTTTTTAAATAATGCTTAATGAGGATAGCTTATTTTAATGCGCATTAAAATAGCACTGAGTGTTATAATAGCCTGCAAAGCAGCCTCCACCTTGTTATGGCAAGCTGCTGGTTACTATTTATGCTATATAGGAAAGTGCCGGTCAAAGCAGGACATAGCCCCCAACATGAGGAACTGTTAAATTCTGGGCCACCATGAAGAGTTTATAACAGAGAAATTATCCCAGAGCAAAGAGTCTGTCCTGTGCCTAGCTTTCACCTCCTAACACAGGGAGCATCCTCATCCCAGTTAGTACTGCTCAGAAGCAGAGCCCCATGCACAAAGAGATATATGTTAAAATGGCAGTCCAAGTTCAGAGCAAATAAATACTGATCAGTTCCAACTACAATCAGTTTGGGTTTTTTTATATGTTTCAGCAAGTAAGCAGGATTCAGTCCACATATAGCTAATTCTTCTGACCATCAGATTAAAATCTTTCCTAAAGCCTAGCTATCTGACCACCCGGCTGACTTCCATACTGAGATTCAGGCACAAAAAACATTAGATTTTCAGAGGTCCTGAGCTCTCTCAGACCTCACAGACACCACTGGAAGCTCAGCCCCTTTGCAAATTAGATCGCTTTTATTTAGTTCAGGGCACAGAGCATAAACATGGATTTAGGTACTCACTGGATAACTCAGGTGTGAATGCCCTGGGCACAGTGATTTTTTTCAGATCAGGTTCCTAATCTTTAATATCGTCTTATTAGATACTTCACAAACATGGGGTGTGCCTATTTGCTCTGGCAGCAGATAGACTTTCTTGTCAGCTTCAGACAACAGATTATCCATTCTCTGTTGCACACGGTAGAGTTTAAGCCCTGCACCCGCCAGTCAGCATCATGAAGGCCTTTGATTTTATTGAGTTAAACAGCTGCTGCCCTCTGGTTATTTGGAAATCCTGACTGACCTGAGATAAAGGCAGTTTCCTTGCCAGAGGAATCCTCTGAGTAGCAAATGTTTTTCCTTATTATTATATTATAGAAATAATGTCTTGATGGGGTTACAAAGTGAAGCACTCTGTTGTTAGGAAATGCCAGAATCAATGTAATCCCATGCATTTGGCCCCCCATGCGCACAACTATTATAATGTATTTTTTAATTACATGACTGTATATTATTTTTCCACAAGACCCCTATCTCATTCAGTGCACAGGGCAGATGGGGCTCATTGAATAGGTATTTAATCAATCATCTTTTTATCTCACTATTTAGTGGCCCCACGCAGTATTTAATGCACATCACCCAAACCCTGCACACACTAAAGCAGCAGAAGCCAATCTTTTTGGCAGGCATGCCACAAATTAGTCCCACACCCTCCTTGAGTGCTACTCCCATCTCCATCCCCTGCCCTATCTGCTACTGTGCTGCCTGTCCCCTCCCTGTTCTGCTGTGTGTCACACATGCCACAAGCTGGCCACCTCTATTCTACAAAATGATTTCTTTGCTCATAAGTTTTTCTCTGGTGCTCTCAGCCCTCTGGCATGAGGTGTGGTGGGCTTACAATCCCTTTTTACAGGTGAGGAACCGAGGCACAGAAATTAAAGCCAAAATTGTCAAGTGTCCACTCATTTGAGGGGAGGAGGACCAATATGAGAAGCCTTGGACCTGATTTCTTCCAGATTACGTAGCACTGTAAATTAGGGCTATGCAAAGCTTCAGTCCCTGATTCGATTTGGTGGAGATTCGGCCCAATTCGGTGGCTGAATCTCCGAATCCAAATAAAATCAGAGGACCCTTTAATCTCTCCAAATCGAATCAGAACCCTCTGAATTGATTCGGAGAGACTCAGAAATTCGGACATAGACACAGCTTTAAATGTTTTTTCCACATACCTCTAGGTAGCAGGGGCTCATGAGTGCTGTGATGCTGGGGCGCATGGAGCCCCCCCTGCACCCCGCCGGCTTGGCAGGGGGGGAACCCAGAAGTGGACTGGAAGTACTTCCGGTCCACTTTTGGGTTTGCCACTGAGCACATGGAGGGCCCCCCATGCTCCCGTGGGACACTCCACCTGCCTCAGCATTGCAGTGTTCACAAGCCTCGCTGGTACTTCGAGGTATATAGAAAAAACATTTAAAGCTGTATCTATGTCCAAATCGCTGATTCTCCAAATCAGCATTGAATCTTCAGATTCAGATTCAGCTGAATTGAATAAGGGACAGTGATCCAAATCAACGAATCAAATCACTGTCCCTGATCCGGGCCAAATCCAAATCCAAATTGAATAGGGCCCGCTTCGCACACTCCTACTGTAAATCACTTTAAATGTTCAGATCAGAGCTTCCATTGACTTCAGCTGCAACTGAGCAAGTGGCCACTGCCAAAGACATGTCAAGTGTCTTGGGTTGGGTTCACATAAAATGAGGAACACAGCAGCTGCCTCTACACATGCAGATAAAGGGGAAGTGGGATCTAATGCATGAGCCATACAACTGCAGCAGGTATGATTGTGGGATTGCACATTAGATCGCATGGCGCCTTGTTGCAGATACAGGGGAAGCTCAATCCTGTACTCCCCCTGTGCTGGCAAGAAGCAAGCTCTTGTGGCTGGGAGCCCCCTCAGCTGGGGGGCTCCCAACCACGGGGGCACCCTACACACTCCTGCAGCTGGGAAATGCAGCTGCTGTGATCTCCCAGCCTTGGAGTTAAGTGAAATCCCTGGGGCTGGGAGATCTCAGTTGCTGGGGTCTCACAGCCTCGTAGGTGGGGAATGAAACACCCAAAAGCTGGGAGAGCCCGGCAACCACAATCTCTCAGCCCCAGGGGTTTCATGCACCCCTGGGATTGGGAGATTGCTGCCATGCCCTGCATATGATCCAGGTGGGTCCCAGCACCAGACTGCCCAGACCTTGTGTCCATAGCTGCAGGACTCTGGGTCCCGGCAGCCATGGGGTGCTGCTGGGACCCGAAGTCAGCAGCTGCTGGGGTTGAGAGCCCCTTCAGTTGCAGGACTCCCATGGCCCCTTCAGTTGCAGGATCATGCTCAACTGCTCCGCTCTGTAAGGCTGGAGCACGTGTGGTCTGGTTACACAGCGGAGCTGTGAGGGGCTGGAGCATGCTCAGTGAAGAGGGACTCTTTGGATTTAGCTGCCCAACTCTGCCAATTCTTTACCAGGCACGTGTGACCTGAGATTTTTCAGAAGCTCATAAGCAAATTCACTTGGAAACAGCAGAAGATACATCCCTGACATCTTGGCAACACAGGGCTATCATTTTGCTCCAAATTACAGCTTCCCTGTGAAATTTTTAAGATGGGTGAAATGTCTCATTTTCCCTTAATCTTATCATCAAAAACAGCTGATCTCTTTCTTTTTGCTGAGATGTTCAAAAAAAATTTAGGTTGAAGCAGACTCCTGGCACAGAAAACTTCTTCTCACATGGTAGGAATTTGGCAAGGTTACAAGCAACTGAAAACAGGGTCTTATAATGGAAAATACCAATTATAACTAACTACAGACATCACTGTCTACACAGCCCCTATAAGAAACAACATTAACAACAGTGAGTGATAACTCTGTTGAGAAGAAACTGGAATGATATATACATGGGTACCCCTCTATTCCTGGCACCAGTTATACTGAAAAATGCCTTTCTGATTGGCAACTCCTGTCATATCCCATGAAGGCTGTCTCTGAGGCTGGAAGGGATACCTGCATCAACTCAGCAGTGGCACCCAACATGTTTCCTAATACCTGAGCAAACTGTCTTCTGAAGTCCAAGTAGTTTCTAATGTTCAAGATTCATCATCATCACCCCGTCTCTCCTGTTCTCCCAGCAACACTTGATGGGTGGCACTTTTGGCTCTACTGAAATCTCCCCAGTGCTCCCACCACAAGCTAGTCAACCTTACTGCACAATCAGCATTCATTATCTGTAACCACAATAACATCAGACAAGTTTGCTGACCATTCTCCCCTGTGCAGAGATGCCCACATCTGCTGATGCTTTAAAACCAGTGCTACAGAGCACCATGGAAATCCTACTCAACAGCTAGACTAACATTATTATTAGTTGGGAGAACTAAGCACCATGTTTGTCCATAGAATCAGTAGAAGACGTGCAGTGACAATGCAAACTTCTCCCCAGTTCTGGTAGGCAGGGCATACCTCTTTTCCAGATGCCAACCTTTGGGGCATGTCAATATTCAGGCCTAGTAAGCCCTACCCTTGTCTTTTCTAGAGGCTGATGGCAAATGGCAAGGTGGAAACTGTGAGAGTGGAAGTTTATGAAGGAACTTGGCCTGCTGGAACTGGATTGAGCCTATCCAGTCCTTTTCATTGATCCTGGAGCAGTGCATCAATAAGACTAATGAGCCCTGAGCAAAGTGCTAGCTGTTGTTGTTTGATTTCATCTGAATCACTGCTCGTCCTCTCATGAAACTTGGCTTCATTTGGCATGTTGCAGAAGTGACTAATTTTGCACTGAACATTTGCATCAAAGAACATTCCCATTCTACATGTGAAAGCCATCACTGTGTGAAACAGGCACACATTCAAGCTTTGGAATAGGGCAGCTCTAACCCCATGGACTCATGGACCTCAGCAAAATTATCCACAATTGTGTGTCCAACTTTGAGTTTGCAGTGAAACAAGAAAGTTGCAGCCATCTCTGGAACAATTCTAGGGTACTCTTTCAGGCCTTACTGAGCAAATACATTTTCAGAAGATGTTTTGCAAGATCAGCTATGAGTTGAGACACATCTCAAGAAAGAACCACCTGCAGCACCATCCCCTTGGAGTAACAGAAGTGTGATATGAATCCCGCGGTGAGGCCCACCCAAAGTTTGTGCAAAACCCTCTAAAGTTCTCAAAATATATTAGGCTTAAGTGGAGAGTATCCCTGACCTGGCACTCTGCATATGGGGAGTCTCACTTACAAATGCCTTTTAATTTTCTTAGGGATTATGGACATTGGTTGGGGCACCTAGAACATCTGTTGGGAGATAGACAGATGATGATATTTAATACATAAGGATACTTTAAAAATAATTTCTAACATCTCTGCTGCTAATGATGACACATCAGCCCATGGAATGAACTCAAAGAGTTCTTTCTAAGAGATACTCAGTAATATAGTCCTTGTCCATCTCTGCAGTTCTGCCAGTATCCAGAGCCCACTCAGGAGGACCCCAGCTGTCCTTTGTCACCAGTTCAGGAGTTAGTTCATTCATTCAATTTAACCAAAGAGCTTTGAGTCCAGCAGCTTTACAGAGAAATTGCAGAAATGATCCAGCAATATGTAGGTCAACCCTGTAAGCTGTTGCAAAACAAGGAATCCAGAGAAAGCAAGAGTAAGAGGGAACAACAGTCTCATCATATCAAACTGAAAAAGAAAGAAAGAAAGAAATTCTGGAGAAAGTAGTGCAGATATCATTAGCCACTCCTGGTGGACGCTCTTCATTTATAGCACATGTATGAGGTACTGTAATAGGAAACATGCATCAGTTACCTTATCGGAATATATAGACATGCGTGTTGTCAGACCAATGACAGGAATCCTGTAGAAGCCAGCTGTGTATGATACAGGTGTTGGTGTTAGGTGATCATTTGGAGCAGGTGGGTGACTAACTAATATTGCATAGACCTGTAGAACACAGGATACATGATACAAACATTATTTCACAGGAGCAAATTGTCATGAACTGTGAATTTCCTTTTCTTTTTTTGCAACATTAAAAAGCCAAGTTCTAATGTGATAACAGCATTCAAACAAAAGAAAGCACAATCACACTGCAAAAGCGACACATGTCACATGTCATGATGCGGTTCAATGCATGGAGGAAGGTGTGCATGAAAAGACTGCTTTTAGCCCTGGGCTGAAGCCTATGAGGAAGAAATGGTTCTGTCTGGGGTTCCATCCTGATGGAAATGTGCTGTCTGGCTGCTTGCAACAGAAGCTAATAACTCTCCTAGCTTACAGATTAAAGGGAAACATCTCCCTTACAGTCACACTATGTAATGCAATTTATTTAACCACACATTTAATACTCTACTGTAATTCCCCTCTGAGGACTATTACAAGCAAAGTGGTCAGCTGGGATTCTTAGTGAGAGCAAGAGCTCTGAGTGCACGTCAGAGCTACAGAACAAATCAGCCATCTGTCCGCTGAGCATGCACAAAGATCAAAGAGCCAGGGAGAAGCACAAGTTGGGTGGGTCGGTGGGGATGAGGGGGAACACACAGGAGAATCCTCAGCACTCAGGCAAAGGCATAAAGAAGCCAGGGAAAGAATACATCTCAGTAGCAGTTTTCATTCCTCTTAGCAAAGCAGGGTGATTGTAACTGCCAATAAAACCACATAATTTTATACAAAATTGCTTTCACAGCCCCATAAATGTGCCAGACACTTGACAAGCACAAGACCAGCTCCCCAGCTGGTGTAAATCAGCATAACTCCATTAGCATCAATGGAGCAAAACCAATTTGCATGATTGGAGAATCTGACCCATTGATCAAGACACCTTCTCTGTCCTAGGAGAGGAGCACCACAGAAACACAAGCAATGAGCCAGGGAGGAGCAACTCCAAGGCGGAGGCAGGAAGGATGCCTGGAGGCAGTGGGGTTTGTGACAAGACTGGAGGAGGGTGAGAGCGCTCTCGGGGAAGAAAACAGTTATTCCAGTCCAGGGATGTACCCAGGGAGAAGGGGAATAGCTGAGAGGGGATGAAAGAGGGTGGAGAAGGAAAACAAGAGAATGACCAGGGTGCAGGGCCCAATGGAAGAGGAGAGGAGTGGAGAGGGGGATGTATGATCTTGCTAGCAAGAATTAGGTACTTGGTCTGAATGTAGGAAAAGCCAGGAATCCAGTATGGCTAGGGCAAGGGATTGCTGGGTGGAATGAAGGGAGATGATTGTAGCAGTGATGTTTTTACTGGACTGAAAGGTGCAGAGAGGAGGCCAGAGAATGGTGTTGCAAAAGTCAGTGTGTTGCAAGCAGAGGAAAGGGAACGCCCAGCAACACTGCAGGCAGAGGAAAGAACGTGCCTAGCATTGGTGCAGGCAGCAGGAGGGGAGAAGGCGGGGGGAGAGCCTGGCAGAGCTAATATCGCTAAATGTATGCAACGTGCCAAGATATAAAATACGCAGGCAACACTATAGCCCAGTGTATGGGCCACCAGCCCAACAATGCACAGTGACATGATTTCTGGAACCTGAGAATACCGGTGTGCCACGCCGAATCACTCCCATCTATGACAAGCCGACTACGAAGCGACATGAACAATGGCTAAAATGCGTCACTCAGCAGTGTCGCTGAATGCAGGCAGGGCTGTAAATGCATGGAACAAACCTGGCAGATATTCACAATTCAGAAAACCTCCATTGTTTCAAATTTGCACCAGTTTACCACGTTCCATACTCTGAGGACCAGGAGAAGAGCTAGCCACCGCTTCAGTCACACTTCTAACCTCAAAACAGAGCTTCAATAAGGCATAAGCCCCTTGGTGGGCCTCTGCACAAGCCTGTAATTGCCAAGTAACCAATATGGTCAGGCCAGCAGTGATACAGTGATCTAAACCCAGGGTGGGGGGTAGCAGCTCTGCTGGACACGGGTACTACATCACAATGAACACGTTCCATTTTCCTACGGGTGTTCTGATCTCAGGGTGACAGACGGAGGGACAGGAAGGTACTCACAGCCTGTTTCCTAGCAAAACGGCTCATATTCACTCCAGACAAGGGATTTATCCCCTGGGGGCTCCATGCAAAGGGGTTTCAGGCCCCTATTCCTCCCAGACAACCATGCTGAAATACTGCTGTAAGGCAGGGGAGGCCTGACCAGCACTGCCTGACCATCACCACTGCCACACCCCACTGCTCTCTGAACCCAGAGCAGAAGCTCATCCCAGCACCACCACCTCGTGTCTCTCCATCACTGGCTGCCCCCCCCCCCCCCCCCCACCCGTCGGGG